ATCATTAGTTAAAATAAAGACAATGCATTTTGCACTAAAAGAACATACTTTTAGCAACCAAAAATCCCAAACTGTGTCGACATTTAAAAAAAAATATAAAAAAATCAAAAAAATCTGATTTAAATAAAAAAAATCATGATTTAAATAAAAAAAATCGATTTTTTTGATTTTTATGAAAAAAATCAAAAAAATCACCAACGCTGCTTTGTGGGCAGTTGGCGGGTGCTCTAGTCTGGTCTGCTCCTTCTTTCCTGTCAAACGCCATCTATCGTCCTAATCACTCCTACTTCTTTTTTATGTTAGTTCTTCTCTTGTAACACCTCTAATCTTCGGCACTTATATGACCTTATTGTGTTGCAAGTGCTGTAAAACTCTTACTAAAGCAAAACTTATGTCACTTTTAGATTTTGTACCAAAAGAGGGCTCTGAATTAGTGGGTTTAAACCTCTTCCTCCCTACTGAAGATAAATAGTTAATGTTTTGTGGGATCTTTTGTTTTTGACTTACTGCTATGTCAATGGTTTCTTTTTATAGCAGGCTTCAAAAGAAGAAAATGATACATGAGAAAAAGCAGGTATTTGCAAACTTATTTAGCCTGCAAAAAAAAAAAATGCAAATTTGAAGTTTGAATGGGGCTGAATTTTTCTTATATTATTTTTACAATGGCTCTTGTGTGTATTGATGGCGTGGAACAAATTGTTTAAAAAAGAAAGAAAAGTGCAACGCCTAAGTTTGGCCGATACATGTCCCAATTAGCTCCATGAGACTGGAACTAGTAGCTTTCAAGAATGTTCGTGAACTTCTTAAAATGTAAAAACTGAGGTAAAAACATTATAAGCAATCTGTAGAACAGTCTCGGCTCCTTCAAGGCTTAGGTAAAATGTTTTCAAGAGACTGAAGCTCTTTGTTCCTTCATGCAGTTTTCTATCTGAGGCATATGGATTTCTTCCTGACTGGATGTGATATGGAAGATGTTTGTATTGTGTTTGTCACTTGCCCTGCACATAAGATCAGTGCCTTTTAATATCTTACAAAGCGTGCTGTGGGAGCCAATATTCCCATAGTCTGTCAGTGACAGGTGGAATGAGGCTCTTGCACTTTACGTTTAATTCACTGATGTCTGTGGTGTAGTGGTAAGGCGCTTATCTGTCATACGCAAGAGATCCGAGTTCGATTCCAGACTGGGGAGAAAATGTTTTTTGAGTATCTTGGTCTGTCTGCTGGGTTGTTGTATGCCTCTCAACCCATGTTGGCCCTGACAGGCAGGGTCAAAAGCAGGCCTTTTAAATGATCTCAATTGTGTGGATGGGGGTGTTAAAAAGACCTGCATTCGAAGCAGAAAAAAATCCAAAACATTTTTGTCTATAACAGTTATGCATTTTTTCATCATTTTAAGGAATTTCATACATCATCTATCATTGTTTGATTTTGGTTATGATAAAGGATTTTTATATCTCTCAAGGCATCTGAATGAAGGTCAGTGGAATCCGTTGACACAGCTGGTGGTAGGGTTAAACAAACAATACCTGACCAGGGCAAAGGATGTACTTGATGACCTTCAAGATCTCATTTTCTCTGTGCTGAGTAAGTGTTTGGTCCGTTTTCTTTTTTTCTGCCTTATAAATTGTTTAAAAAAAAATTAAATTTGTTTTAAAATATTAAAATTTAAGGCTTTAGAATAGGCATAGGCAAATTATGGCCTGTGAGCTAGATCCAGCCTGCAAGAAGTTCCCATCTTGTCTGTTCTGTCAGCTTGTTAATTAATCATGAATGTGGCCCGTGGTAAGTTGATAATTAGAACAAAACTGTGTCCAACTTGAAAATTGAACTTACTTTACTTTTCCGATCCAGCGGCCATTTGGGTTTTAGCCCTTCGGCCTATCGATATGGCGAAGAATTTACAGGTTTTAATCAGCTGTACTTTGTCGCTGTATAGAGTATTTCGGATGTCTGGGGAGGCAGGTAGGTAGGTGCTGCGCAGGTCGCCAAGTGCAGGCAGGTAAAGAGGTGGTGTGGTACTGTTTCATCCTGGCAGTCACACAACAGGCAGTTTGGTGGGGTATCCTTGAGGGTCGTATTAAGGTAGGAACTTAGTGGGATGTGTTGTGTTTGCTGGCGAAAGGTCATGACTTGTACGCTTCTTCTGAGGGAATTTATTGCATGTTTTGAGTTGGGGGCTGTCATGTGTGCTAATACAGTTCTTCCAGTTTTGCCCATTGCCCATCCATTCAGCCACTGTTCCCTGGTGTTGCATTTGATGATGTTCTTGGCTGTCTGTTGTGATACTCGGTTGTGAGGTTGTGTTTGTGATTCTCCCTTCTTGGCAAAGGTGTCTGCTCTGTCGAAAATCGAACTTAATAGTTTCTGAAAATATTTCAAGAAGGAGAAAAATTTAGAGCCCCTTTCAGTTTGTCTAAAGTTATGTTACACATCATAGCAGTTTAGAAATTACCGGTGATTCTTGAAAAATTAATACTGAGCAAAAATTAATGCATTCCAGTTTTAAGATGTGTAGTATGGGGCTCTAAATTCTGTGCAGAAGTCGATTGATAACAACATAATGTAGGTTGTCTTTACGTGATCTTAAGTCTTTTGGAGCTGCTCAAGTGAAGTTTGAATAAATTAATTATGTTGCAGTTTGAGAAGAAGCGTAAGGGTGGTTCTTTTATTAAAGTAAATAAAACATTCCCTGAAAAATATAAACAATGAAGATTGTTTCTGCTCCTTGTGATTTATCAAAACCTTTATTAAAATATCAAGGGTTCTCTAGATCTGCTCCTAATATCCATTTTTAGACATAATTTTCGTATTGATAAGAGCAAAGTTTTCTAACCAAATATGTACTTCACATGCTAAGAAAAATTCCACTGTGTGCAAGACAACAGAGGTTGTAATCCTTGATCAACATTTGTTGGCATATTATAAGAGACAGATTGGTAAAACTTATATAACAATAGAAATAGGAATGAAGAGATGAATTCATTCAAAACACATGCATAGAACAAGCCCTAATGTTGCAAACAAAATGAAAGTACTGAGTCTGAATAAGCTCTCTAATTCTTTGTGTTGACCCTGTCCGCCCGATTTGTGTTAGAAAGACAACACACTCTGTTTTGTTTTGTTGCTCCTCCCATCAAACTTTATATCAATAGGAAGAGAAATGAAGCGATGATTTTGTCCTTTGACAAGGTATGGGTAGAACAAGCCATAACGATGTAAACAAATTTAAAGTAATGGTATGGAACAAGCGTTCCGAGTCTATGTGTTGGCTCTTACTGTCTCGCCTGATGTGTGTAAGAAAAACAACGCACCTCTCTTTGTTTCCAGTTACAGAACCTGCACTTCCCATCCAATAGTCTATATAAAGAAATGACCTCACAGCTAAAATGATATGCTTTCAAGGGATGTCACTCTCTTTATTTAAAACTTATTAAAAGATGAAATATCAATAAAGCAAAACACAGGTTCAAGCCGCCGTATGAGATATGTTTACACAGCACTAGGCGGCCAATTATCGGGAAGTATGAGATGAGTCTACTGGGCACTAAAAGGGTTAAGGTGATAAGTGCTTCCTATTGATGGTTGAATGTCAAGGCAAAAAGAGAGCTAATGGGATTACTTATACAATAAATAGCAGTATGAGTCTGTCAACCTTAAAATCATATAATATATATATATATTATATGTGTGTGTCACGAAGCAGTAGAATCAGTTGCTTGTCAATTTTTGGACATGTGGAGTTATTGGTGTCGTTTTAAAACTTTTTCATTTGTCTTGCTTTCATTACGCCTACATCATGAATAGAAGTCGAGATATTTGCGATTAAGGGGGTGGGGGTCGTTTGGTTTCAGAGGTCAAATTAACGAGAAAATGGCCACCAAAGTTTGGCAACTTTCAAAGCTTGAGAGTCATTAGATACTGCCTATTTACATTTTTGTGCCTTAAATTAACTTTTTTCAGCAAAATGTTTTTAAATGGACTTTAATGGTGTTTAGTCAAAAGGCAAAAATTTGATGAAAAATGCCAAACGGACAGAAAAATGCCAGTTTCTTTGATTTCATTATTTTGACAAGCGCCCGATTTCATCATGCTGATTCACATATATATTATATCAAATATATTGCATATTTAAAAGTAAACCTTAAGTCTAGGCATCCTTTTCTTAGGACATGGTGGTGACCCAAATGTGATAGACGAAAACAGGAGGACACCAGCCCACCGCGTGGCCATGCACTGTATGGACGTATCGCTGCTCAAGCTTATCTGTGACAACGGAGCTAGTCTCACATCTGTGGACTCTTCAGGGAACACGCCTTTGCTCGCTCTGTGCAATGTGTCAGCTCTCGACAGCGACGACAGCTGTGACAGGATGTCACCTGTCAGTGACAGTGACATTCTGGAGGCGTGTGTACGTCAGGAGGATCTGTGTGTAAAGACAGATTTCCTGTATTTTTTGTTGAAAACCGAAGACTCTGATGTGAGTAGGTTCTCTTATTTTATTATTATTTTCTCTTTTTCCGTTCCTGTGTATTCTGAATGGTTTCATCTGTGTTTCTTGCAAAACGTGCTGTTGACATAACACTTGTTTTTCAGGAGGGATTACTTGAAAAAAGACTTTTTACTGGAAATCTTTTTGTGCATCATTGTTTTTTTGACTCTCGTTTGCATAGCTTTCATAATAAATTTAAATTAAATAAATTGCGCAAAATTCTTATATTAAAAATACTTAATGTTTATCTGGCATAGGCAGTCTAGTGGTCTGGCTGTCAGGTTTGTAAACTCAAAGGTCATGGGTTTGAACCCCGCCAGGGTCCGATGTTGTTCTTAGGAAAGGCACTTTATTTAAATTTTCCTCAATTTACCTGGGAGGGAATGGGTACCCAGCTTTAAATTAAAGAGCTTATCAGTTTTAGAGTTTTAGTGCTGAATTGTCTACTTGCTCTGCATGCTTCTTGGGAAGCTGAGAATATTTCTGAGTGTTCTAGGGTCTGTTTGGGCAATGACAATTGTAAAATAAATAGAGCATGTTGTAGAGAGTATGAATATGCGCTATAGTAATGTAATTTTTAATATATTATTGTTGATATTACTATTAGTATTATATCATAATCACTATTATTATTAGGCAGATTAAATGTTAGACTACTGGCATCTGTGATGTTGTGGTAAGACACTTCATTGTCACATGCAAGAGACCTGAATTTGATTCCTGAGTGGGGGGAAGATTTTTACCAAGTATCTGGGATGTTGAATACCTCTCAGCCTAAGTTAGCTCTGACAGGCAGGGTTGGAAGCCCGCCTCTTAAATGATCTAAATTGCGTTGATGAGGGCATAAAATGCACCTACCTTAAAAAAAGAAAGTTAGATTTATATCAGTCAAAATGATTTAGATAGAGAGATGGACCAAAAGGAGGTGTTACTATTTTTCAGGTTTTGGGGACGGGAAATCCATCATGCTCTCAATCAGTGCTGAAGCTACAGCCGAAATTGTCCGAGACGGCCACCCACGTTCAATGAGAAAAATGGTTGTCTTAGACAGGTGGACACCTCAGTGTTGTTTTGATGTAGCAAAAATACAATGGGGTTGGGGTGGGGGGGTGGGGGGGATGTGATTGTTTGTACTTGTAATTGTTTTGAATATGCGGCTGTGTTAGAGCAGGTTCAACTATACTCTATAAAAAGTACTTCATGAGCAATTTTAGGCTTCAGACATTTTCTGTAAACCACTTCTGCTTCTGTTGCTTCAGATTAACCACCAAAACAGTCATGGTCAAACAGCGCTGCTCCATCTTGTGCTGCGCGGGGACAGCCAAGGGTCAAGGATATTGCTGGACGCCGGTGCTGACCCGAGTCTGCAGGGATTTGTCTGGGAGTCTCGGCGTAAGAAACGGTGAGGTCACCAGCTGTCATAGAAATTGTAATTATCAAAAATCTTTGAGGATAACGAGAAATGCAAGGGGAAATGATAAAATTTTGTCTGCCAGCTGTTCAGATATATTTAGCTCAGAATTTTGAAGGTTAAAAAAATTTCTATTGCAGTTTCTTAATTTAATCTGTGGTATCGGTTGCATATGCTTAAGATATACTGTGTTGAAATTCAAATTTTAAATGTAAAAAAAAAATTAATAAGAAAAGATACCAAAAAAATAATTAAAAGAATGAGTTTTTATCTCTCGTGAAAAACTTTGTTTTCGGGGTTAGAGTAATTTAACAGCCTACCGATGGTTTGTCTGTTTTCAGTGGTGAATTCACTAAGAATAGGGGTTCAAGAGTTCAGTTTTGTGGCCCAGTTGTTGCATGAGTCGAAGCTAAGTAGCAACTCGAGTGGTTTTGTGGCCCTCAACCCATTTGGCTCTGTCCAATTGGACATAGACATTAAATTTGGAGGTCCCGCCTCTTTGATAAACTAAATAGTGTTAATACAGGAGTGAAAACCCTACACTTACTTACTTTTTTACAGTTTTTGTATGTCGTCTCCAGGAAATTGTCACCCTTGTTTGCATCGCTGATGTCTCTACCTCTGCAAGGGTCCATCGTTTGCTCAAACTTGTACACTCAGGTGACCAGAGTGCCGCAGTTCATAGCACAGCTGGTTGATGCAGGTATGGTCTTGTTGTCAGCATTTCTATGTCAATGATTATGTAGCTTTCCTCTTGTGAGCTGCAGACTATTTTTTTTTCTTCCTGTACTTTAAAAAGGCATGGTATGTTACAAATACATGCTGATCCAGGTGTCATTTAGAATTTACATGAAAAGGCATAGTGTGTTATAAGCAGGTGTAAATTTTGAATTTTCAGTTGTACACAAAACAAATCAATCCAGGTTGTTAATGTTATCTATCCTGTCACAAAGCAGATGTTTTAAGACCAATTCATCAACAGTTCATTGAGTAAATAATTTGTTTGGGTGGTTGGTGGGTGCTCTGATGTTGTTTGCTCCTTCTTTCCTAACGAACATTTGTCGTCCTTGTATGTCCTCCTTCTTTTTCTTGTTTTTTTACTTTATTGTAAGACTTCTAATCTTCAACACTTAATGACTTTATTGTGTTGCAAGTGCTGTTAAACTATTACCCCAAAAAGATATATAAAATTTGTGTTGTTCCAGGTTACTTCACTACTAGTGAAATAGCAGAAGAGTTGTCTTCCATGATTGAGCACGATTTCCCGGAGTTCTCCCACTTGCGACCATATGCCGAAACGTTGATTCATCTCATGTTTGGCTATAAAACAGCATCACTTAAACAATTAGCTGCCCGTAAAGTCTTTCAGGTGAGTGCAAAGATTCATGTGTTTGTTCTTTTACTTTTTTTTATTTCAACGAAGTAAAAATGGAGAGGATCTTATGCCCCCATTCACCCAACTTATATCATGTAGGAGGCAGACTTTGACCTAACTAAGGTCCAACTAAGACTGAGGGGGATACAATGTCCTGGCAGAAAGACCAAGATGCTCTATCTATAATTATTCTCCCCACATGGGAATCCAACTTGAGTTTTTTGCATGCCGTAGTGAAGTGCACAACTGCTACATTACAGATACCAGTTTGATACCTTTAGACAGTATCAGTCAGTAAAATGACCGTCAATCTGTAGTTAAAAGTCTCACATTTTTGGAGGACGATTATAGTAATCTATAAAAAACTTAAAAAATTGTTGAAAAAATATTACGTATTTACTCACATTTTCCTAAAACATGTTGCCAATATTGTACTATACGTAGGTTATGACGGAGTCAATAAATGGATAAAGATACAGTTGAACCTGCTCTAATGAGCACTTGTCCAAGACAATCCCCTGTACGAATTACCAAAATTGACCCCCCCCCCTTGCATTTTTGTATGTTATAATGACTGTCCAAGATGTCCACCTGTCGAAGACAACTGCTTTTCTTCTTGACAATAGGGGGCTATCTTGGATAATTTGGACTGTATTTCAGTCTTTAGCGTCATTAAGGGAAGACCAGCATGCTTTTTTCAAAATCCGTTATGCACAAACTTAACAATCATTTAAGGGCATTTCATATGACTTTGGGGGTCTGGTATGTTATTCAGGTAGTCAGATGGACTCTACTTCTGCACTCCGGGCCCCCTATAAAGCGTTATTTTAGTGCAGGCGTAATTTTCTTATCTATAAAGCTACAGAGTTAATATTTTGACAGAATAAACTCAGTATAGGTAGTTGCAACCTGTTAAAAGATTTTTTGGATATCGTTTAAAATAAGCGAGATATCTCTGATTTTAACACATGACAGGCTAAAACACAGAAATTTTCCTTAAAACCACTCCCTTTTGTTTGTTTGTTTTTGTAAAGTGTTTTACGGCGCTCACAACTGCATAAGGTCATATGAGCGCGCGGGACACACCTAATATTTTCAGTTGGTAGGAAATTTTGAATTTTGCCCGGGTGGCGGCCGAAGCCTACTCTTATCGATTTTAGACCACCAAGGGATCTTTAACGTGCGCAACTTGCACACGGGCCCTCCGAGATTTTTCGCCCTTGTCCGAGAAGGCTAGGTGTAGATCTTTCCTACCAGAAGATCAGGGGTGTGGCAGAAAGACAGCAGTAAGGAGGGGCCAAGGAGTAGCAGTAGAAAGGCTGCAGAAAGAGTCAGGAGCCCAGAGGAGGGGGCAAAGGAGGTGAGGGGGTGGGGGCAGAAAGTGGAAATGAAAGCAGACAACAGAACATTGCTAGAGAGCAGGGAAGGAGGTGAAAGGAGACAATTTTAGAGAAGAAAATTTTTTGGTCGCTACCCGGATTCGAACCCGGGACCTTTGAATGAGAGGCCAACACCTTAACCTCTAGGCCACGAGAGCCCCCCCACTCCCTTTGTGGCATATAGAATGTAGTAAAATGAAAAATATTCCATATATAAAAAAAAGCCTCTAACAGGTTGCAACTACGCCAATTGCCCACACTGAGGCCAAATTTCAAGTGAATCCTATGAACAGCCTCTGAAATCTTGCTGCACTAAAACCCCATACCCCTAAAAATATCGCGTTTTAGAGAAAATGCAAAAACGCGAAACGCAAAAAATAGTGCGTTCGCCTTGTTGTTACTTTTTTACAACCGCAGACTGATCAATGTAGTGTTCGTCTTTTTCAGTACCTACCACTGCACTATACGGATCACCCAGATTGGTATTGAACTATGTAAAATGAAATAAGAATACAGTTTGGAATGATGAGATAATACAATTTATTTCTAGAGAACAGCACAAGGAAAGGGGAACAAAGTTATCCCAAAGCTTGAAACAGGGCAATCATAGTCATACTTTATTCAGAATAGAAAAG